TATATCCCTAAGTAGTCCCCATATTGACCCGCATAAGCTACAAGGGTCCCTAGTAGGGGTCCCTGCAAGAGTCCTTCGAAAACCCGATTAGCTGTGCTTGACGTTGTGATCATCGTAATACCAGCCCAAACATGCATGAGTGATCGCAACGGCACAAGATACGTAGGCTGGGTGCAAGGCCTACTGATCCTGCAGGAACTTAGTGTAGACAAAGGTTTATGCAAAGAAGTACGGCAAGAAGTGACTATCATCCGAATCAATAACCGCCCTCAGCATTCGACTTGCAGCTGGAGTCCTTGCGGCAGTTTTTGATCATCTCCGTTTAAAGTTTCAGTCCGCAACGCAGACAAGTATTCATTGATCCAGCCCGTGGCTGCTCATCGCGTAGATTGCGTTTGTAAAGTCCACAGGTTTTTCGCCTGCACGCAACCCCGTTTCAAAGTATACCGTATACCTCACACTTCCGATCCTCAGCAAAACAACCGCTAGGCAGCTGAAGCTGGGCATTCTGCACTCTGCGCCCCGAAGCCTGAACCTGAAAGTTTGCAATCCTCAGGTCGACCAACAAACCAAGAAATTTGTTGATTGTGACAGCACTCCAAAGCGTTAATGACAGCCGCCTGCGAGTTGCTTCAATGATTGGTAACCAGCAAGCAAGGGCGTTTTGGACACCAGGGGGTCATGTAGTCCTCATGACATGTGCCCTCGTGGCTGCCGGAGGGAATCTTGCACCACTCGATGGCGGCTGCGATCTCAAAAGCTGTCATACAACTATCGAAGTAAGCGACATGTCGGGAATGCAAGGTTCGGCAATGCTTGCGAAGCATCATTGAGATGAGTCATGCCGACGATTTTGTTGTTTGTGGTCTTGCTACAAATGGCCTGGGTTCGAGGGCATCCCAAGTGATGGAGTCCGCGCAGAGTGCCTTACTGAAAATCGTCCTTGGGCAGGCTTCTGCCGTCAATGGGATGAGACTCCAGTTATAGGTTCTGGGGTGCCAGGCTAGCATCGAAATATTGCCCAATACCGCACCACCCTCTGCCTCTTAAATAATACACTTATGGAAGCAAGAGTCTTCGTAACCCAGAAGGTTAGAGGGACAGAGCCATGAATCAACGTTTCGTAGCATGTCTACTTCAAAGTGATCACGTTTGGAAACTAGAAACCTAGATAATGTAACTCCCGAAGCCAGAGTAGATTTCATCCCTAAATGGTGCCGTCGAAGATGCTTGCAAGGAAATGGATCTCTTTCGTGCATGGGAAAAGGAGCAAAAAGATCAGAAGCCGCACGCTCAGAAATCAATAGGCCCAGGCCCAGTTCTCATCAGATGTAGCAATCCTCATGTCATATTTGAAGCGTCAGGGCGCCCAGTAAAACACAATACCTGTTTTGGTTCACGCAGTATTGCGTACGCCAGCAGACGAAGTTTCCTGAACCATGTTGTGCTGCAAGGAGTTATTGTGTGCGGATGCCAATGTTGTAGGCAAGGGGCTCATTGATTTGCATGCCCTTCGATTTTGTTGCTCATCTTCGTGGAACTTTTGCCAGGGCCCGCTTGCAAGAACGCCGGGGTTTAGGTTCCAGGTAAACACAAACTGTGAGTTTCAATAATTGGGGAAGCCTTCAGCATAGGTTGACAAGTCTAATGTGGCCAATGTAGGTACATGGATCTTCAGCATACAAAAACAACAACTGTGTGGCCTGATCTGAATTTTTTACATTTCCTGTTGAAGGTTTCAATTATCGTTCGTGTTCAAGCTTGTGCTAGGTGGACAAACCTAACATGTGTTGTGAAACAGTTGACGCCATTCTTCGGGATCAGAATTCAGATTTGCTGCTGTCATTTCATGTGGCGGTGCTCCTGATATCTCTTGATGATGATGAAGATGATGAAGACGATGATGATGATGATGATGATGTTTATGGTCAGGGTGATCGTCGTTGTTCCCTTCATGTCTGTTTTTGCTGGTGCTCCTGACGCGGGGTGCGGATCGTGAGTTGTCCTTGATATAGTTGGCTTTGTTGATGCTTCAGCTGTTGGATCCTCGAATCCTGCAGACTCCAACCTCGGAAGTCTTTATCCCGATGCTGGAACCCGGAGCGTTTGATCTTTCCACCAGCAGCCGCACCCCTGGATCCTGCGCACATGCGAACATCCCAAGATACGTCCTGATACCTAGGCCCTACGCCGGGTCCTTTACATCTGGGACCTCGAAGAATGACTCCTAGATCCGCAGAAGCTCCCTTAAGTTAGATGTCCTACATACGGTTCATGGAGGTTATCCTGCACCATTCAAGTTCCTAGAAGTGTCAGGAGTTACAGAAGCTTGGGGACCCTAAATGGTGCAAATTTCCTTCCAACCCTGAATCCTAAACCCTATTACTTGAACAATTCCCATCCCAACTTGGGTTCCTTAGTTCAAAACCTCTCAAATAGGCGTGTCTCAGCCCCTGAACCTTCAACCGATTCTGAGCCCTAGCTCGGAACTTTAGATCTTGACCCTAGACTCTAAGGATACAGCAGTGCGACTGAGACCCTGCATGAACACGCGTCCGGGTCAAGGAAAGTGGCCAAGCGTCCTGCAGCGACTTCCACAACGACCCAAAGTAAGGCAAGGTTTTCGGGGCTTGAGGGTGTCAGGGATGTGTAGGGCTTGGCATTTAACATTGAAATTTAGCATTATTGGTGGTCGCTGAAGGCTGGCGGGTTATACGGTTTCAATATGGAGGATTTAGTGTTTGGAGTTTAGGTAGAGGTGTTGGTTAAGGATGTGAGTGATGGAGATAGCAGGGGGTAGTGTGTAGCTAACCCGGCTTGTAGATACACCTACTCAGTCCCTCCAATTCCTATCAGGCATTGGCGTAACAGAGATCAAGCACGAAAGTTTCAGCGCATAATGGTGAGGATGCGCTTCAAGCGTTTCCCTTGCAGTGGACACGTTTTTCAGAGCGAGAGAAAGCTGCCACCAAGACATCATGTTCATGTTTTCGAAGAACCTGAACCTATTTGGTAGATTCCATAAACAGGATGACCCGATTCAGACCCCAAAATACAATAATCCTGCTTATGAAGACTCCCAAGAACAGACCCCTGAGTTTGTGGAACCCACATCAGCTGTAGTCTTAACTCCTGAAAGGGGTTATATATGTGATTATATAAGGTTCCTATTCTAGGGCTTACTATCCTTGAAACGGCCAAGCCGGCATCTTGCAACTACGGTGTGGCCTTAGACTAAATTCAACGACTCATGCCTTCTCAGGGCTTAGGGTTCAGGGTCACAGGACAATAGCAAGGTACCATGCCTTCACAGTTGGGGCAAGCCAACCTGGTTCAGTATGGTTCTTGGTGCGGATCACGTTGCACGGTGAAGACCGCCGCCGTTTAGGGATTCGCTGGTCCAGCATGGGTTGCGTCAGCCACATGTAAGCCTTAAACCTTAAAAGGTGGCCTCTGAGAACGCTATGGCCATGTCGCAGATGTCATTGGGGAAGCACCGGGTGCACATGCATAGGTGGGTTCGTTTGAGATACAATGGAAATCATTCCTATGAATCAAGTAGCAACTTTGTTCAGGTCTCCATGTCAGAAATGGTGCCAAAATTTCTAGCAAGATCCCTTCAATCCCAAACCCAGAACCCTAAACCCTAAACTCCGGAACCACGAAACCCTGGGACAGGAAATCTACAACACAAGCTATCAAACCTCAGAATTCCACGGACAGCTTCTAAGATAAGTAATCCGAACCCCCTAATACGAGCCCCCCACCACTAATATTACTTATTCCCCACTAGACACCTTGTATATATAGGGGGGAATGTAGTAAAGTAACAAGAGAGGCGGGGGGGGGTGTTTAATATGTATAGGTTAGAAGTGGGAGGGTTGAAGGGCTTACTGTTTATGTTAAATAGGGGATTATAAAGGGGAATATTATGGGCGTTATTAAGAGGATACTAGGAGCTTAGACTATGCTCGTATAAGCTTTTACTGGTATGATGGGGGTGAGTACCCGGACTAGCTCCTACATGCCGGCTTTTCTCCGAACTTGATGGTATGTGGATGACAGCACACGATATAAGGCTTGGGATTTAGGATTTAGGGCGTTTCAAGCATTTTGTTGCATTTATTGGTCAGATGGTGTTTTCACGAATGGGTGGGGTTCTTTTTTTGCAGTACCCAAAGGAACATGAATATTTTGGGGACCAGTTTACGGAGACTCCTATTTGCCCCTGGGAACCCTTGTTCATGATTAAGGGAGATATTTCTTCAGAAGCGTAGCCATGGGCTTATTTCTCTAACCACAGAAAATTTGTTGTTCTAAGTTGGTTTCGTGTATAACATACGATTCCACTATAAACGGCGTATACCCACGTCAGACATTAAGGACACAAAGAAGGTGTCCTTGGAAGAAACCTTACAGTAACTGTTCTCAAAGGCTATTAATGGGCTCTCATAACTCATGACCTATTGTAGTAACAGTTACTGTAAGGGACCTAACCTAGAGTTCTTCTTAGCATGCAGGCCCAAACATATTGATGACAATCAAACCCAGCAATCGCGAGGTGCAGTCGGTTCGCAAGAAGCCAGCTACTTCTGCAGGAATAAAAAATGAGGTTTGCGCGTTTCG